ATGTAATGGCTGAAAGTGGTAATTTGGGGTGCAGGTTTTTTTCCCCTGTGCATACTGCAATAGAAATGGATAGATTTCAGAATGGAAACTGAAAACATTATATGTGCCATAATTAAAGGAATAATTAAAGTCCAGGACCTTTGTGCATGGCAGGAGAGGAAGCTGAACATGTTCCATATGCATTGTCTCCAACCCATTTTTGGTATCACCTGGCAGGACAAAGTTCCAAATAGAGTAGTCCTAGAATGAGCTGGGATTTTAAGCATGTATACATGACTGAAAAAGTGACGTCTACATTGGCTTGGGCATGTTGTGAGAATGGCTGATGGTCGGATTCCAAAAGATCTCCTGTATGGAGAATTAGTGCAGGGAAAGCACCCCAGAGGGAGACCACAGCTGTGATACAAGGAGATCTGCAAGTGAGATCTGAAGGCCTTAGGAATGGACCTCAACAGATGGGAAACTTTGACCTCTGGGTGTTCAGCCTGGAGGCAGGTGGTGCAGCATGGCCTCTCCCAATTTGAAGATGCACTTGTCCAGCAGGCTGAGGCAAAGAGATAGTCCCAAAACCAGCAAAATCAGGGAGCGGGACAAGGGACAGATTGTATTTATCTTCCGTGTGAAAGGGATTGTCACTCTCAAATTGGCCTTCTCAGCCACACTAGATGGTGTTCCAAGACCTCTATTCAGAGCATGTTACCACAGTCTCTTGAGACTGAAGGATGCCTATATGAAAGGAATGTATACATCCACAAGGCAGGATTACTATCAGTTGTGCTCATATGTGTAGTCTGCAAAAATGCTACAGGTCTACAGGCTAACACAAAGGAAGCTGCCACTTTCGGACACCTCAAACAGACAGATAGACACCACTCACATTCTTATGAACCAGATGTTTTATGTTTATCATAACAAAAATGGAAATGTTGAATGCTAAAATATCTAATATACCATTTTTTTCAATATGAAGTTCCTAGACCAGTTCTGTCTTCAGCCTAAAGCTGTCTGTTACAACAACTACTAAGAATTTTCTGCTTTTATTTCAACACTGAGTTTTTCACACTTACAGCAAATTCTTAGATTGTGATGGATTTGCTATGTTCACAAACCCAAACCAACAGCTGAGAGTATTTAGGATATATAACCTTCAAATGTAACCCTCCATGTTTTGCTATTAGCACAGAACTGATGAAAGATTTAAGCTTTTGAAGGTTGTTACGGGGAAATTAATAGCTGCTATTTCCAATATAGTATTGTGTCACTCCTTGGCAAGAGCTTTGCTGGGAAAACTCCAACATTCATGATGCCATAACAAATTTCAATATAGCATGCTATACAGACATGTTAGTGTAAGTGTATCACCCCATTTTAACACCAACCATTGCTATTAATATCTGAAACCACTACTCTATGACTTGCTGTTCAGCTATCAGCTTCCTCTCCTCTTGTTCCTTCAGAGAAAATTTAAAAGCACATGGAAAAGATGGAAGTGTAAGAAAGCAAAATTAAGAAAGTTTTGACTTTTGCGCCAAGATTCCAAAATTGATTACAATTCCAAACTCTGTAACTAGGTTACAATGTACTGTCCCAAAGATTGTTACATTTATTTATTATCCCAAAATCTAGGGATTTTTTTAAAAAAAAAAAACTTCAAAATATTGGCTGCTATTTCTCTTTAGTGCACTCTATTTGTTTTGTATTTGTTTTTCTCTCATCAGTAGTACCGTAATCAATTTCAGTTAGGAGAAAATAAGATACATTCTTGGTAATTTCTCTCTGATCTACCAGAACACACCCAGGGCCTATCTAAGTAACCAAATTACTTTCAGGTAAAGTCTCAACCTAGGATAGTTTTGTTGTTCATATTTCGCCTTGAAAGACCTATGTGAAGTGTACTTCACATAGTGAGTGAAGTACACTCACTACTCACCAAATCTTCAGTGATTTTTTGGGCCTACTCTAGTGCAACTACACTAAACAACAGGATTTCAGCCAGTATATGATTACATCAAGTTAGAATACTGATCACAATTGAAAGAAAAACAGACAAACTTCCCATAGATTACTTCCAGAGAACAAGGTAGATACATGCAAGAACAAAATATAAACCTGCTCCAGATCATCTATTTCAAATCTGACTATTTCTATTTCATATTTCTTTTTGAGGTAATTTTACCGAGTCAAGACTGGCTCCTAGAAGCTTTATATTTGACTGAAAGTCAGTTTGTGACCCATGTACACTCATTATAGAGCAATTGTTCACTTGTTGATTATATGGTAAAGATAAAACAAAATATCTTCTTTATGTTCATATTTATAAAATATTTATAATGCTATCTATAGCCTTTGCCATTTTTATTTGTGCCTTATTCTGAGCTGCCTTGAGTCCCACAAAAAGACAGAATGTAAATTTAATAAATAACTATTCTTCCACTTGGGGGATTTAGAAGATAGTAACTGAAATCCTGCAGCAAGTCATACCTAGAGTAGGCCCACTAAATCAATGGGGATTTAGTGAGTCAAGTCCTCTATCAGTTCCAGCATCAGCAATGGACTGGAGAATAATGCGTTCCACTGCAAGGTATGTGGATTTGTGTTTTTTGGACTACAGCTCTCGGAATTCCTGGGAACTGTGATCCAAAACTACAAATCTGCTCACTTCTAATGTCAGTCCTTCCCTATGTTGGTCTCATTCCCTGTGCTAGACTCTGTTCTAGCTTTTATACCCTGGACTATTTTGAGGACTCAGGAAAAACAAAGTTTACCACGATTCCACTTGATACCCGCAAATACTCAGCACTACACCCAATGCTTCTGTGTAGTCTCTGAAAAGCATTAATTCTAACATACTGCAACCACAGCCTACACATTTTTAAAGGAGGGTTAATAACAAATACTATATGCAAGGAACACTTATGCAGAAGGAAAAGAAGAAGAAACAAGAGGCCCCACGATGGCAGCTTACCACTCAGAAACCACTCATCATGGTGGAAAAACTTGGCTTTACTGTTTACTTTTATGATTCTCTATGAAAGTAGCAGACATAGCAATAAATGACATAACTCTCATTACCATTCCATTGATTCATGCAAGTCACTAATACTTGCTGCCAGGAAAAATAAACTGTGCAGAATATTCCTGAATGCAAGGCATTGAAAAAGCTCAGATGAGGAAGATGAGGCAAGGGGCTCCTGGTAAATATTTGCTCAGGCTAAACAAAATAGATTAACATTTCCAGTAGTAGAAACCAGAAATGGTATGGTGGTCCTATTATTACAGGCTTTTAGACAGCTTAATTTGAAAAGTTTTATCACTTATCTCGTTTAAGTGATCCACTGAAGCCCTATACACCAAAGGGGGGAGTATTCTTGCAGAGAATGGAATATATTCCCTCTGCTTCCTTCTTTGCTAGATACTATGGACACACCTACTCCCCAGTGAGTGAGCATAATTTAGTTGCACTCTTTCAGCAGCTGCTCCGTACAGGATGGAGTCATGTGGAACGCCATTTACTATAATTCCTGGCAGCCGTTGGAGCTGCACCTTCAATAAACATTGTTTAAACAAGTGTTCAAACAGAAATGGTTTAGTCTCCAGGTTAGTTCACTTCAGCTGAACCAAGAGCTGATGAAAAAAAACACTACCTACAGTTCTGCAACACCCTCCACTTCCTTGGTTCTTAAAGCAGCAGCCCTCCCAGGGAAGGAAGTGACATGGTTAAAAATAAGTTCGAATTTTGCCAAGACCCTGTCCTTTAAAAAACAATCACATACACCAACAGTGGGCTGGGCTATTCCCAAACTTCCACCACCCAGTACACAAGAAATACTGGCAAGAGTGGGGAACCACCACAGTTTGCAGTATACCAAAATCAGTCTGCACAAGACAAACCCAGCCAGCTTCTCCACAACTGAAGATTCCACAGGACTAAGTGGAGTGGGGGGGGGAAGAGAAAAGTGAGTGAGATGTGAGAACAAAATAGAATGTCTGGAAGAGAATGACAAAGGTAGATAGGCTGATAGATAAGAGTAGAAAGAGGCACTGTTTAGAAAAGTCACTTCCTGGTTCACACTGCGGTTATCTGTAAATGTCCCCAGGGACTGAAGGGAGAGTCACCAACAGAAATAAAGGAAGAAATCCAAGATGTTGAAGTAGCTGAGATTTGGCACCAATGTGTCCACCCCACCCATACCAAAGCCACCTGTGAAACTATCAACAAAGAAAAGAACTCCTACTCCTTCTGACATAGTTCCTACTTGACATGAGGAACTCTTTTAAAAACAAAGCTGTTAATGCAAACTGCAAAGCAAGCACAGTTAACTGTTCCCATTCTGCAGAGGAGAGGCATCTGTGGCTTAGAAAAGTTGTACCTGGTGTATGATCACCATGAATTGTTCTGTGTGATTTTTGACAATGCCCTAATGTTGTCTAGTTGAATTAGACCCTTAGTGTAGATTTGGGGGTTGTACTGAAGGTAAACAACCTTTTGTTGTTTTATCTCTAGACTGTGGGTTGGGCTGAAAGAATACAACAAGCCTGCAGTGGAGCACATGGTTATATCCCCATTACAGGTCTGAGGGCTGTACTGAAAAAAAAACAGCCCTTCAATAAAGCCCAGACCAGAGTGGGTGACACAACGTGGCCCTCAGGCATCCTTCCAGGTCCAACAAGATTGCCAGCTGCACGCTGAGGCCTTAACTCTCCACCAGCTTTCATGCGTCTTTAAAATGTTTTGAAACAAAAAAACATTTTAGACACGAAAGAAACCTCAAGTTAGAGTACAACTCTTGTCTTAAATGCTTTTTCTTTTTGCAACTGACTTCATTGCATCATCACGGCAACATGTGAACACACAAGATAAACTGACATTTTGTTGTACTTCCCCCTCAGTTTTCATTCAGGCTTCATTCTAATTTGCAGGGGTGGTTGGGGTGGTGGAAACAAATAATAGAAAAATCAATTTAAACTGTTATTTAGAAATAAACTGGGAATATACTCACCAACAACATCAAGGTGGTATGTGTGATTGATGGATCCATGTACATTCTCCACAATACAGGTATAATTTCCTTTGTCTGAGGGGACGACACTTTCCATTATGAGGCTCCAGTGCTGATTTCGTACCTAGCAGAATTTCAGAAAAGTATTCAGAACAGCCAGTATTCATTTTCATTCTTTGCTCACAAAAATGCACTAATACATTAATTTTAAAATTTAGCTCCCATCAGTGGGTAAGAAACAGCTAAAGTAGTCACGGATCCAGAGGTTCACCTCACAGAGCGATTCATATCACTATAACAACAAGGCAGATGTAGCGCTACTATGTTTTATTGACAAATTTGTAACAATACCCCAAATAAAACAGATTAATATTATCCAGTACCTGTTGTTTTCGGGAAAACACAGTATTCTTTCAATAATCAATAGTAACACTGAGTTCGATTTATTGAGCTTCTCTATAGTACATTCAATATGCAACATACCTTAAAAATATACCATCTGACATCTCCTCACACTTGCCAGTGCATTATTATTTAGTTTGTCATGCTAATGAAGGACAAAAGCCAAAGGTTCTTTCACATATTTTAGAAAGCAATGAAAGACAAAGACTGGCATATGATTTGTGGGGGGATGTATGAGATGTTCTACATCTGGAAGCCATGCACTTCTAGCAGGGTGAATTTATGTTGTCCCCCTCCAAAGCTACAGTACCAAAGCCAGGATTATGGTGTAACCTTATTCTTGTTTACTTAAAGCTAAGTCCCACTGAGCTCAATGTAGACGTAGGCAAATTTCACATGCTTCCCTTTTTGATATGAACTTGAGAGAACAAGTTTAGAATGTTTAGACCTTAAATGAATCTGTGGATATTCAGTTGTATTTGAGTCACTGAATCAGGGTTATTACCACCTTTTTTTTCCCTAAGAGGTTTATTACCTTTCACAGTCACATCGAAAGCAGGTAAAACATGAAACTTGGAACAGCCATACCTGCTGAATTTGGCAGGTAGAGATGAATTATATTCAGTTTGTTTTATTGCAAGCACTTACAAAACTAGCAACATTCTTCAAAATTACATTTTTAAAAAGTAGATATGGGAGAAAGCAAACTGACAGATTCATCCATCTCCAGTCTAGAGAAACTTACTATAAATTAAGGAATTAAATCTTATTGGTACATCTCCATTTGTTAATAGATGAAGACATAAGAGTCCTAAGAGATATTGGGCAAGTTTAATCAATTATATCTCTTGCTTAATTTAAGTTGGGTTAATATATTGTTTTGTACCAAACCCATTCACCATTGTTTCCCAGGTCATACAAAACAGCAGTCTATAGTTAATGAAAGACATGGTGGTTTCTTTGCTTGTTTGCTTTGCTTGCTCACCCACTCATTTGCTCAAAAAGAAGAACGAATGGACAATGTGAACAAGCCACAAGGCTCAGTCATATTCTTACTTATTAAAATTATATTCTTATTTATTAACATATCCAAGCATAACCATTGGTTTCCCTTAAGCTTCTCCATAAACATGCTTGAACAGAGATTTGAATCCAGTTCAAAATATAATGTTTTAACAACAGCAGTATGTTCTGGGCCATATTATTCATAAGGTTGACTAGGCTGAAGCCTAGAGGCCCCACAGGGACTATAGGCCCATCAATTGGCCAGGGTCAGGCTATAGGTTATAGTGAAGTGAAAGATTGAAATGCTAGAGGGGGACAAAAATACCTGAAAGCCTAGGAGCCCAGCCACAGGTTAATACAGTCCTGGGTATGCTGCATCTCAGCTATTTCACATTTTGCACACCTAGTTCATCATCTTTGTTACTTTACGACAAGAAAAAAAACCTTTCTGGATTATGTTTTTTGTACGTTACATTGTTTTGATTATTAGCCAAGATAAACCTAGTCTCTTTACCATATCTAGTCTGAAAGTGAGCAAAGCAGCCTGATGTCTGAGAAAGAAGTAACTAAGTTTGAGAGATAACATTATCCATTACACGGGAAGTAACACAGACATGTAGCTTAACCAGTCTAAACGGGGGAGGGGAACCCTGCTACCCTGACAATTTTCATCTAACAGTCTAAGTGAGATTGATATTGTTTCACTGTTTTAGCCCACAACTTAAGCTGACTTGCATCGTCCTAAATAATCACTTTAGTTGCACAAAGTGTTTATGACACCACGTCAAGAAATTACATTTAGAACTGTTCAAGTTATTCATCTTGTTGACAAGACAAAAAGGCCTAATAGGATCTGTCTTCTTCACTGACAGGAATGTTGGCTGCTGGGAAGTGATGGAATCAGGACGTTAACCAGCTAATCAATCCTCAAATCTAGCAAACTCATCAGTTCACGTAGGCTGTGCAGATCTTCATTCAGTCATAGAAAAAGAGAGGGAAAACTTCACTTTTGCCTTTATTCTGGGAGCTACACTTTTGAAAGTAAAGGTAAAATGCATAGCAACAACAAGCAAACTTTTAGTGAGACCCAAAACAGTCTACAATAATCAACTGAAAGGCGAACATCAGTGTTTGAACTAGGAGGTGCTATTTAGAGAAAGAGGGAAAAAACAACCCTGGATTTCAAAGCAGGCCTGCCTTTTTTAATTGGATAAATAAATTATGTCTTAACATATTCAAAAAGAAGAAATGTGCTGTTTTCAAATCTGAACATTAAACCAGATTCTAAATGCCCAAATGTGATCATACACACCCAAAATTAGCAAGTCCTGCCAGGTTCACTGGAATTATGTCCTCTTCCACTGTGCTGCTTCCTCCCTTGATTGCTATTCTTCTACACTGTTTTCCAAAACTCCTGAGGCCAAACACACACTCAAGAATGAAATATGTAAGGCCTCAACCAGGACTGAACAGTCTGACCAATTCTTAGCATGCACAGAATGCCAACATTACATCAGGTATAGAACTTACGTATCCAAACCTCTTTACATACAGAGGAGACAAGATTAAGACAAACTACTGTTAGTCCTCTATTTTTTACTGTCCACATCTATCTTTCCTCCCTTCTTTTTTAATTTATTATTCAAAATACTGGTATACTAGTCAATTGGCAATGTCCCTGAAGTGATTTATAATTATTAGACGTATTTTTGTTTTACATAGCACCTCACCCCAGTGCTATATTCATAGGATGCATCCCCGATGTGACATTTCCATTGAGATTTGGTAACATCCCAAAATATTCCAACTGTAATCTGAAAAGCTACCTTTTAGGACAAAACAGTTTACCTCATGAGAGGGGAATATGTGGGTTTCAGAATGTTTTGAACATTCCCAGAACATTTAAGTCCAAAACACCAAGAGGTTCAAAAGTTCCTCATTTAAATGTTCATAGAGTGGCAGACGTAGACACAGCCAAAGAGGACAGAGGTTACACTTTCAGCATTCCTTAGTGTACAGTTGCAACTACCATGCAAAACCAATATTTAAAAGATCCACCTACTAACCTTTGAAACATATAAACAATGTAACCTCTGGCTTTATGGTGCCTTGTGTTAGACTTGGCATCTTGTCTTAGCCAATCCAGTTTAACAGAATTTTAGAGGTATCTCAGTTTGCTGAGATACAGTACAAATAAATCCAGAAAACTATGTCTTAGAGCAAAAACAAAGGACCAGGGAAGGAACAAAAGGGGATGGGGGGAAACCCACAATTTTTAAAGTTTTAGACAAGGTGATCGAGGTACCTGGATGGACTAAAGAAAGACGGCAATGGCAGTTAAACTAACCTGTTTACAAAGCTAACCTTTACACCAGTGGTTCTTAACCTTTGTTATGGCAATGGGAGTTAAACTAACCTATTTACAAAGCTAACCTTTACATAATTCCACTGTGAGACATTTGTCCCATGTCTACCAGACAAAGGTTGTTTAAATTAAAAGGAAGGTGGGATGTGGGTTTACGGGGAGTATGCTGACTCCTTATGCAGATTTTAACCCAAGGTTAAGAACCAGTGCTTTACATCATTCCACTGCGAGACATTTGCCCCATGTCTACCAGACAAAGGTTGTTTTAATTAAAAGGAAGGTGGGATGTGGGTTTATGGGGAGTATGCTGACTCCTTATGCAGATTTTGATAAAATATTAACACAACTCGTATCAGGGCAAAAAAATTGACAATATTATTTTAAAATCAGATTGTTTTACGATCTCAGCTAATGGGATTTTACTTTTACTTTGCAGGCCACATCTACACTGCCAGATGTTATGACACGTTCCAAATTTGTGATACTCTTGCTTCACCTCTAGGATTTAATATTTTTTTACCTGCTTTTATTTCTCTGCAGGACATCCCATCACATATGAGTCAGAAAAATGTAAAGGAAGCTTCAATCCTTATTTAAATTGTTTAACTTCTTATATTAGATTTCCTGAAGACATCAAACATAACATATTTCTTTTTAATTCTTATGTAAAGAGCGAATCCAAGCTAAGATCCAAGAAGTGCAAGAATCTCACCTATTACCCACCATAAACAATTATAAATGTGGAACCTTTTAAAGTATTGATTGTACATCAAAAATTAGAATTCTTATTTTGAATAGGATTTCTAAGGTTTGGTACATATCCTCTCAATGATTACTTCAATCATCACTGAAGATGTTCATATACGGATTCAAGCTTTTGCCTGTGCAAACATCGAAGTGCTCAGATGAAAAGACAGAGACTACATCCTCTTCATGTTCACATGATGTACTTTGTTATGCCACCAAGCACAAGTGGATGTAAACTTGTCCCAGTCTCCAGTATGCATGTTACTTGGTCATTCCTAGCTAAAGTTTGTAAATCATCTTCCATGCCTTATTTCTAATTCTGATTTTATATTGACCTTGGGAAATGGAATGTGCAGCATAACTACATTACATTTACCATGTAAATAATGTACAGATGAAGTCCAGATGTTGGACTTCAGCTCCCAAAATTCCCTACCATTGGTCATGCTGGCTAAGGCTGATAAAAGCTGCAATCCTAAAACATGTGAAGGGTCACTCTTTACCTCTCTGCCATGGATACAATGCTATGTCTTAGGGCCATAAAGTTGTGAATGGAGTTTTCAAGCTGCATTTCATGGCCACAGAAGATCAGCATTGAGATGTGC